TTAATTCCGGACCCGACGCAGAGACTCTTTACATACCCGCTTTGTAAACATAAGCAGATGTTCTCCAAAAGATAAATAGAATCATTAGAGACAAAAAACTGTTGGCCAACGTAGAACAGGGGCCTACCATGAACTCCGAGCCTATGACAACCCAAAAAAAAAAAAAAAAAAAAAAAAAAAAAAAAAAAAAAAAAAAAAAAAAAAAAAAAAAAAAACAACCAACCCCCCCGGGCCGAAAAGAAAACAACCCCCAAAAAAAAAAAAAAAAAAAACCCAAACCCCCCCCCCCCCCGGAAAAAGGAAAGGGGCCCCCCCCCCCCCAAAAAAAAAAAGAGAGAGAAAAAAAAAAAAAAATTTGTACAAACAATTAAAAAAAAAAAAAAAAAAAAAAAAAGAAAAAAAAAAAAAAAAAAAAAAAAAAAAAAAAAAAAAAAAAAAAAAAAAAAAAAAAAAAAAAAAAAAAAAAAGAAAAAAAGAGAAAAAAAAAAAAAAAATAAAAAAAAAGGGGGTTGGGGGGGTTTGAGGGAAGGGGGGGGAAAAAAAAAAAAAAAAAAAAAGGAGGAAAGACCCTTGGACACCGACCGCAGAGACTCGTTTACAATATTTACCAGACATTGACAATTTGTAAACATAAGCAGATGTTCTCCAAAAGATAAATATAGAATCATTAGATGATCACGAAATAAAAACTGTTGGGCGAACAACGTAGAACAGTGTTTAAATAAATCCGAAATCAAAATCTCAGTTTAATAAGTTTCAGAAGTTAAATTGGTAGAACGATATACACGCTAAGTTAAATGTTAATTCAAGATAAATCGGGCAATGTAACGTTTTTAGTTCCATTCGTCGAATAATCAAAAGAATTAGAATTCAAAGTAAATCAGGCAACTATGGAAACCATTGCGCATTCGAATCACGTCCAAGGAGGCAAATAAGTTTGGGAGCAAATACTGTGCCGAGAAAAACATTAAGATTTTTGCGCCTTCAAACTTTAGGAATTTTCATCACGCGGTAGTTATCCAAATATACATGACCTCATTGTACGATTGTTGAAATTCAGATTTAGAACTAAAATGCAGTCTCTGAAGATCACATTTTTTTTAATTGTAGTGATTTGTATTAAGATAGAAGCATCCTAGTTACGAAGACTGGCTCGAGGGAGATAATAGAACTAACAAGCGACGCGATGGCAGCGCGCGCGCAGCCGAGCGAAACAAGCGCTCGACCGCACATCCGCCAGAGCCTTCCTAGATCATTTTTAACTATTTTTAACAACCTTCTGCTACCATATCGTGTTTATCAGATTTTTTTAAATGTACAATAGTTAATACATCATAATAGGGAGATTTATTTCAATTAATGCGGATATACAAAAGCGAAAAACAAGTGTTTGACTAATTTTGGATGTCGATGAACTCGACTTGTAAGTTGTATTTACATCTAACCGAGCATAAGAGAATACAATGACTAATTCTTTAACTAATTCTCGTCTTAAGTTAAGGAAGCTTTGATTTCGGTTCCAAGTATGATTGGCAATTCCGTGTGTGCAGATACTGAAAGGGGTCAAAGCTATTAGATTATGCAGTCAAAGGGTTCAGAATCACGCCGCTATTTAATAAAGTTCCCTTCTATACGACAGCTGCTCGTGGGGATCAGATTAGTAATATTATTCTAACACTAAACATTCCAAATCGTCGAAGCTTGCGAAGTTGTTCGAATTTCTATGCTAATAAACAACTCCATTACGACAAGTCCTATTTAGAAATTATCATAATATGTTCGCGGAAATATTATTGCTCTTACATAATATGTTTTATTTAAAATATATGAAGTCATAAGCTATCTCCGTCGGGGTTACTGAACCTTATGATTAAGGAATCATCAATCACAGCTCGTGTAACAGGATAGGCATCGCATGTCACACCATTTATTTATATTTTAGGTACTAAGTACTTGTACACACTGCGTCAAAGATAGTCCATTAAAGGTACCGCAGAACTATTGTGATTACCCCCTTTACGTGGCATTTTCCGGAAATAGGATTTTTGCGTTTCTTTGAAGCAATTCAAATTTTCTAATCAATATAAGACCTTGGGCGGTCCGTAACCCTATCGTTGCGGGAAAATAGAAACATTGTTAGGCAGAAACAAATAATTTCCGGCCACATATAATATAGTAAGAGTAATTAGTGTTGCATGATGTTGCCAGTTATAAATGGACGTGTCAAAAAACCGCGGTGACCTTGGCGCCCCCGCGCGCGTGAAACGTTCACCTCAGGTGAGGCCCGTGGGGCTGGAAAATGCCCTACGACGTTCCGTAACAATAAATTATCTCATCACTTATTCAAAAGTCCAACTCTTAGCAGACGTAGAAGACTATTCCGTCTTAATTCCTTGCGCGGTAAACGACAGAGCTCGCTGCATATTTGATTCGATTTTCGAAGTTTTTAATTCAAGGCCGTAAAAGGCCATGGGGGTGAAACGATAGTGCGTTCCGTTCCATTGATTGAGTCTCTTGTCCAATATGTTATTTACTTCTGTTTGTGGAATCGCAATCGAACGTCCGTTTCGTTTTTAAGGACAGATTTTAAAGGAATAAAAATACGTAACAAGCTCACCCGCATGCTTGTTGTTATCTGTGATACTTTTATTTCTCGTGAACTTTTATTGATGTAGGTAAATTCCGACTTATGCGGGTTACTTAACAAGGGGATAATCTAATAAATTAACGCATCATATGAACGGCATTAATATGCAAGGATATAAGAATGTGAAATAATGTTTCCGAGAAAATCTTTTAAATCGCGTTTCGAGTCGTTAATCAATCATAGTTGAAGAAAAAATATAATTAAGAATATTTAAGAGGTCAATGACTAAATAGATAATAGAATATTCAAATACGATGTGATTTTTGTACTATTTAAATTTAATCGCTTTACCTCATTGTCTGTTTTATACAATCATCGTACTTTTTGCGAATAATGATAATTAATTAGAATTTTAAATCATACGATTGCCATAATATTCCAAAACAGCAGCCCATTATAGAATATCCGCAAAACGTTATTATGTTTAATATCAAATTCATGCTTGGTAATTTAGGATTTTTACCATTATTTAACGAAAATAATCTGACATTTAAGTGAGAGGGCAATCTGTTAAATTCAATGTTTATAATGATAAACGAAAAGTTTTTCTTTACTTATTTATGGTAAGGTACTTTAAGGATTTTTCAGTTTCGTTATTATAAAGATCTACGAAAGGGATCCATTTCTAATTCCCCATTATTCTTTTATATTTAATGTGGCTTGTCTTGTCTCAATAGGAATCGTAGGCACCTAATGATATAGAACAAAAGTGCCTTTAAATCGCCCATTTTGTTTTAGTAGCATGTTCATTTTATTCATATATCATGGACATTGCTTGTCAAGCGATGCGATTCACTACCGAAGTGGTCTCAAACCGGTCCAACAAGCGGCGACTTCGACGAATCTCACTGCATACATTTTTAAATTGACTTCACTTATCTTAGATGATTCCAACCTTTTCATTTATCTTTAAAATGCTTCGAATGGATCGGACAATTCGCATATCTATCAAATTAATGCATGCGATGAAGTACAAGCATATTTCAGACAAATAAGTGAGAGCAGAAACCTCAAAATTCATATTGTATTTAGCGCCGTGTAATTTGTCTTGAATACATAAATGGAGGCATTAGGTTTCTTTGGAACTATATATAGAATGCTTCTTTCATAACTCGTCAACAGTTGATGGTAATAGGAGGGGAGGCCCTCATTCCGCCACCCTTCGCCACCCTCTCTCTAGAGAATTGATGATAGATTAAGTATTGTACTATTCTGGCAACAAAAAGGTATTTCTTTGAAAAATTTAAGATTTCACTTTCTTCCATCTTTGTTTGTTAATAAATAGGTAATTTCGAGCAAGACAGGCGAGTATTACCTTAAAAACAATATTTAACGAATTATAAAAGGATTTGTAATAGGAATCCCTTATTATAGATTCAAAGATACGTAGAAAATAAAATGATTTTATGAAGCAATACTAATTGGACTCTTAAATTTATTAAAAGTAATATTTGGTGATGTGGTCCTGATGTGGTTCGTCTGTTATCATAATTAATATTTATTATTTCATTGCCTCTTCGAACACAAAGTTTTTAGCTTTTATCGTACAGGGCTGGTTTAGTCGTCTTGACAGTAACCTGTTTCCGGAAAGACTGTGTTAAAATTTCCACGGTAACCTTGAGCGTGTCGCGATAAGATTACTCATATACAATGTTCCTCCTCCAACCTAACGTTTAGCAGTCATTGCCTAATCAATAGGCAACATTGTTGACTAGCCACTAAGAATAGAACTTCACATTAAAGGTAATGTAAGTAGGTAAAATCATATTCTAAGCTTTGGCTAGATAAATATGGATGACGTATTTTGACTTTTAATCTTTGCCGCCCACAGACTATGTCATTACTAAGATTAGTCATGTAAACGACAAAACAATCCTCACAGGGAACGATCATTAATCAAATAGGTTATGCAAAGTGCAATGTTATGGCGCGCAAAGCAAGACAAAACTGAGTTAAATAATATTGTCCAGATCTTGCTTATATTGAAGTCATTAAAGCCTTTAAAGCGGGAGAGCATGTCTTTTAACTTAATTGGGCGAGGCCAATATGAACGAATTTTAGTTAATTTTTAAATGTATATCTTGTTGAAGGCATTTGGCATAATAGTTATCTTAAATAAATTGAAAACCCTTCAAACTATCTATGTCAATGAAACACTGGCTAATTGCAATAATGTTTATGTTGTATGTAGAAGAGACATCGGCCCGTGGCGCCCGGTCAAGGTATCCGGGCCAAAGGTCGATGACAGACAGCAGCGCTTCTCTCCCGACAATAGCAAAACGCTTAACCGCCAAATTTGACGTAAACATTAGAATTTTTAAACGGGTCCGAGCTAGAAACTTCTGTCTATAAACTAACCTGATGATATAGATTCATTTTCAGATTTTGGTGTCGTGGGTGGCATCGGTAGCGGCATCGATGGCAGCGGCTGTGTTTGAGGTTGCTGCTGCTGCATTGTGCAATGTGTGCCCAGCAGGGATTGTGTCGTGTTATAGCTAATTCCATCGTCGTAACCCCAAAGCTCGAGCCCGTACTCAGGCGAGGCGAGCGATTCCGGGGACATAACCATAGCCGCCGAGAGACCCAGAGCAGATGAAGAAGTAACTTCAGATGAGCTCTCCTCGAGCATACGCAACGGGAATCCTCCGTTGTTTGACCAGCGGCGTCTCATGACGACTGAAACGCATCAGTCGCTCCTGCAATCACGACCACCGACGGACATTCTCCGTATGTCCAACACTTCACTTTTGATCGCACTAAAAAACTATCTAAACGCTCTATCAACCACTATGTACCGGCGCGTCGAGACCGAAACAAATTTCTCACACAAGCCAGTTTTAAGTCTTACAAGACAGAAAGTCTCGAACGGAACAACTTTTTGTAATTTACATGCGAGAGGAAAGTCACGAGTTCGACTATTGGTAGAGCCAAAGGAGTAACTTATCGGGAACGCAAAATACAAATAAAAACACGTTGCGCGCGCGCGACCGTCGTCAACGGAGTACGAGCGAAGCGAACAACGACGCGGCCGCTCTCACTACTCACTGCCACGGTCGACTGTGACGTCACAGCCCCGCGCGCCCCTTAATGCCCCCGCTAACGCCATAACCAAGCGAGAACCGAGCACCAATATTATGTTGAGTTGTAGAAGCGATAATAAGCGGCTGAAATGCTCAATCAAAACAGGCAGAATTGTAGCTTCAATTGTCTAAAATTAACATGACACCTTAACTCATATATTTTCGAAGCCCTATATTGTAATATATATCCTACTAAATAAGGATACAGAGTATCCACTACTTGTCCCCAAAAAAGAGTCTATTCAAAGAAACCATTATTCATCTCCGTTGTCTAATGGAAAATTTATTATTATTATTTTCTATTTTAAGACAGAAAGGTCATAGATAAGAAAAAGTAGGTCTCCCCAGATTTTGTGGCCATGTATTATAGATTTGGTAAAATTACTTATTAGATAAGATTCGATGACGCGAGCAAAATTCGGTTCGACTTGGATGGAAGTTCGTCATCATCACGTGTTCACACGTTCGTTGACCTGAATGTTTTGGAAGTATCTTTGCCTCATAGCATAAGTGCTTACCTGCTTACATTAAAATTGTTTAAAAATATTATAAAAACATAATACCTTTATCAAGTTTAGAGAATTCCAGGAACAATCGTTTGAACAATTGCTTCAGTGAGCTATGTATATTGTATACTATGTTATTACTTACACCAACTAAGTACCAACTACACAAAGCCTGTACTACACATGCAATTGCCATTTTTAAGGACTTCTTGATCCAGTTTTCTCTACGAATTGGCAGCTCAGAGATCGTGTTTCAAGTAGAAACCAACATTTACAAAACATTAATGAAATACTGACTTTTGTAATTGAAAGCATTGAATAGAACCGTCTCAATTCTTAAACAGGGCCGTGATTACTTAAAATAAACGTTTTTTGTCGCCTATACAGATAATGTTGGAGTCGTGAGGTTAGTCAGTCGTGCGTGCACTTAAAGTTACCTCCCCCTCCCCCCCCATCTCTACGCCACTTTAAAGTCATCACTTTGAAGTTATCGCGATTGTCTACTGAAGGACATAAAAGCCATAATTGGGTCGTAGATTATACCAGTTTCCAATTACAACATAAATACCGGCCACTGCAAAAGTTAGCTTTGTTAAATCGATGATGAAGAATGCAATCTGAAATTTCATACATCACTCAAATGACTTTTGCGCTAAAATTTACCTCCAGGTATGTTTAAGAGCATTACAATTGTAATTTTACCGCCTTTAAATGTAGGACTGCAATTTTGTAAGACGGGTTCTTACCTGAAATAAAAATATTTATTAAAGTTTTCATACAACATTTTCCAAACTGATATTAATCTATGCGTTTATGATGCCTTTGTTACGTAAATTGAAAGAGAATGTCAATTTATCAAGCGAATCTGTAAAGAATCGCTATGACTAGCTTTCTCGGTACAGCGATCTTGTGGTTACACGGCTATTTTTAGTGAGCCTCTGACCGGTTTGTATCTGCTCGTATTATGTATCATTTGAAGTCGAGCGGCTTACGTAGTTCCTAGCGATGCAGTCGTATAAAAAGTGGCTTGGCGGAATGGTCTGCTGAAGCGCAATTAAGACCAAGGTCTCCGGGTTATCAAACCCGTGTCGCCGCGCCTCGATGCCGTCGCAAAAAAATATAGCGAATAATGAAGTCGATGGTATTAAAAGATAATAGCGGAGTTAACACGCCGGCTGCATCGCCTTAAATACCCACATAAAATGCCTTCGACATTCGTTACGCTCGCTGTGCAAACATGATACTTCTTTATCGAAAAAGCGTTGACAACATGCTTGTCACTCCAGCACAGTACCTGTATATACATTATCGGGGTACAGGTACTGTGGCAGGATACTGGACTCTCCGATGACATGTACGGGCTACCTCTACGCTGTGGTATCGCTTGAGGAAGTCAAGGCTGCGAAGCATCTGTTGCATACTGAATGCAATAATCCTGTCCGTTGACTTCCATGCACTTGACAATAACTGATGTCAGTTGCGTGAAGCCATGTTACCGTTTTATTCAGTCACACGGCCGATTATGTAATGCTTAGGCTACGGCCTCTGCTAGAAGAAGGTAGCCTCTCTAGTGTTCAACTTTAGTTTTACTTTCGCCTGCAACGAATAACGCATTTCTAGCTAATTCGGAATGTACAGAATATTGAATCTTGTTTCTTGTGCGTTAGAGTTACTTTTAGTTAAGTACGTAGTATTAGAAGTTACTTAGGTGGTTGTAACGCGTAAGTGATATAACTACGTCCGAAGGATGTGGCAGTCTAATCGCGAATTGGATGTAATGTGGGAAATATCTAAAGTCCTGGTTGTGGCATATTTAGTTCATGCATACACGAGAACCACGACTGCGACAACATTGATTTGGTTTTTTCTTAATAAAATCGAATAAATAAAATGAAAAGATGCGGTAATATCAAATAAGAATTACACTTGTGAATCACGATGTCGGCAAATTGAATAATTGATAGTTAGTGCTTCATGAACGTTCTTACAATGATAAGCAATTTTTTCATCTCGCCAATTAGTCACCAGTTTCGAGAAGCTGATATTTGGTCAAGTCATCCCTAAAAACCCACATCCTTCAAAGCTTAGCTCGCACTTGGAGAATTCGCTAATTAAAATATCGAATAGTGTTCACAGGACTTAAATAGGTCAAAGCAATACTGCGTCGACCGTTGTTTGCGCGTGAGTTGAATATAGATGCATAAAGTGCATTGGTTGCATAACGCATTGTCCTCGCTGCAAAACGATGACACAACTATCCGAGACCCGATTACCCGAACGAATATGGTTAAATCTGAATTATGAGATTTAGTCGAGATTCGTTTGAATTATACAATCGCTGTCTTGATTGGAATATAATATTTTACCTTGATAAATGATACCATGAAGTTGTTTTCACTTATTTTATAAGTTAAGGGCTCCCCCGCAATCGAACATACGGGACCATAGTACACTTTGTAAAGTACGGATAGAGCCTCAATGTCTAAGCGTAGAGATAGAGAATCAAGGCGATCAGTAATACATTGGAGTCGGACATTTCGACAAGACCTCCGCTAAATTTGGTCAAAAGGAAGATGCTGGTATTTGGGAACACCGGCCCAGAGATGTGAGCAGTAATGAATATGAGGTCGTACTTCTAGAGCTGCATACGTTATACCTCACTGAAAAATTGCTTAGCCCATACGCATTCAGGTCTGATAATGGTTCTGTCCAAGGTTTGGCTTACAAAAATAATTTAATCAAATGTATAAATAATATTTACGTCTCTTGACTTAACAAATATCAGGTTTTGTAACATTTTGACATATGTATATTCAGCACATAATCTTATTTATATTTGTCACACGGTAACATCTAGTTTAAGCCAAAATTTAAAAAAAAGTATTTTAATCTCAGAGGTCTTTGGCCTTGCATTAATAATTTGAAAACAAATTGAATCTAGAAACTTAGAATTCCGTACAACGATTTGTACCTACTCAAGAGTATGTAATTAACATATTATTTTTTATTTAACAGGGGGAAAACGGGCAGGAGGCTCACCCGATGTTAAGCGATATCGCCGCCCATGGACACTGACAATTCCAATTATTACTCTAGCTGCTACATTCGGCTTCAATTTCAATTTAATGTTTGGTTCGCAGTATTCTCATTAACTACTTAAGATAGAGAGAGAGTATTTAATAAATAAAAAAATCATGTCAATTAGAATTGTATTATTTATAAAAAATAAATAAGTTTTGGTTTGGCAAACACTAAGAGCAGATTAATTGAATAGAAGTAAGAGTGGGCGAACGAATTTTTCTCAATCACAGCGGAACAATATGTAGATGAACGTTTTTTGTACATTTTAAATAAAATAGCAATTTATTTGTTTAAGATGAGCCGTGTCGGCTGTCACAGAAGCCGTTGACTCCAGCTAGAGTTCTTTTGCCAAAATACTGTTCTGCAGGTTTTTATAGAAAAGATTGACAGCTCTTGTCGTCTCCCACACCATTGCCAACTTTGCAATTAAAAATATAATAACGTATTCTTATTTCAACAAACATGTGGGCTTTAGCGCGATCACAGTTTTTTTTAGAACAGCAATTAGGCATCCAGATGCTACTCCACTGTCATGTGCAGACCATAAAGGCAGCTTCTAGTATATCACTCGTTACTATTTGTAATGTATCAACAATTACGTCAGGCTTCTGTTATTTGGGAGTTATAAAATAACGAATCTCTTACTAATTGCGTATGCAAGTTCTGACTTCCAAGCAGTATACCGTAAGTCCATTATCTCAGACCTCTGAGAAGACATTAATGGTGGGATAAATTGAAGATAATTCTATCTAATTACTAGTCACGGTCATGGCCAATAAGCACCAATATGCTATTACACATCACGAGGAGAAGGAGGCCTTCGCTTGTTTTTAATGTAAACATTAGTTCCCCAGATATTCCTGGAAGTGGCGAATGGTGCAACAGAAAAGTATAACATAAAAGGAGCCCGTGCTCGAAGTGATATATGCGAGTGGGATCGGTTTACATAAAATATGTACTTGACTGAATGGCCCGAGATTTTATTTACACAATTGAGCACGACG